ACCACTCAGTCAGGCACAGACAGTTCAGGGAAACAGTGTCTTGTAGGATGCAGCAGCGGTGGAGGAAGGAAGTCACGGGAAAGATAGTGTGTGTGTCCGCCCTAGAAAAACAGATTCTAGGCCTATCACACAGAGGTCGTTGACATTTCCTGAAAAGACAGCTGGAGTCTTTAGCCAGCGTAGCCTAACAGAGAGATGTGCTTCCTTACTAAGGGAGAGAGAGGGCTGCTTCCAACACCTGACTCCCTCCGGCTGCCCTTATACAGGAGAGCTAGCCTTGTGGTTTTCAGGGGGCGAGGGGAAGGGAAAGTAAAAAGTGATCTAGGTGCTTTGGGCCAAATCAGCCTGATGGAACAGGATGTTTCCACAGCACAGTACCAAAAGCATGGTCTGACCTTGACATCCGTAGATCGGATTATGCAGAAGCTGAGCCATAGTTTCCGGGCAGAGAGAATTCTCCACAAGACTCTCTGCAGCCGAGCCGAGTCTCAGCCTCGTTATGAGTCAGAGTATTTGTTTCTGAATCACAGGCAGGCCCTGCTGGCTGTGATCAGCGATTTTAGAAACCAGAGCTCTCTCCTCCCAGTAGCTGAAATCCAACGGTCTCGGTGTGTTGTGTTTCACTGGGTACATACCAAAGTCACACACCAGGCCTGATGCAAGTTTCTGGCCTGGAACTAAACAGGTGGGACTCTCTAACCTCAACTCAGTCTCCCCAACATAACTCTCAGGTGCTTTCCAAGAGAAGTGAATGGAAGAGCCACTGCTCTTCTGGTTATCATAGATTCCCTGGAGACTCTCACCAAGAGTCTCCAGGAAAATACAGAGACAAGTGTTTCCCAATGCGAGAAAGTTACTCGGGCGGAAACTGTGTCTCTCTCAGCTCAGTCATGCTGTCTTCATCGACTTCTGTTTCTTTTTCACAGGGCACCTCAATAGCACTGAAGTGCTCTGAGTTACTCAGTAAATGCAACCCTTTGTAGATCCTCACAGACTCCCTTCGTTCTCGCTCTCCCTCTCCTCTTTGGTTCTGTTAAGCATACCGGTATTATCACAAACGCCACATCTTTTGTGTTTCTACAGTTGCCACCCACAAGCTGGCCCATATTGTGCTTGTCTTGCATCATAAAAGCATCAAACCTGTTTAGCTGCTCAGACAGGACAATTTTGTCAAGCCAACAAGGAAAAGAGCCAGTTCCACCCAACATCTAAGTTCTATTTATTTGTGCCATATTTAGATTTGGAAAGTCCTTGCCTCTGAATATTTGTGATCAAATCTATACACTTCAGATTGCATTTCTTTGCTCCTGGGCTGCTTCTCTTCTGTTTCTTAGCATGCTACAGCTACACCAGCTGAATGAGAGTATCACCAACAAAATAAGTCCAAATTCCCCCACTCCCCTGCACCTAACCCAAAGTCAATGTCACCAACTTTAGGAAACCTTTTCCTAATCTGTATTCTCCTGCTTCATTCTATTTCCTAAGTGGTCCTCCTCTTCCAGCTCAATACTTTTTATATTCCATTCCCCTTTTGGTAACTGAAACTTCTTTAGGGGCTTTTCCAAGTTGTTCTCAGTTATCCCTTATGACGAAATGCCTAAATCTGTAATTTAGTGCCTCTC